AGATAGATCACATATCTGTGGGAGATAAATCGCTTATCTGTGGAAGATAAATCACTTATTGTGATAGATGCATCGCTTATCTAGGAGATAAATCACTTATCTGTGGGAGATAGATCACATATCTGTGGGAGATAAATCGCTTATCTTTGAAAAATAAATCATTTTTCTGTTGGAGATAAATCACTTATCTGTGGAAGATAAATAACTTATTTAGGAGATATTATTATATACTAATTATATAATGTATAATTATACATTATACTTAATCAATCATTAATAGTTACTCTTAGAAGTAATATTAAAAAAATATAACATTCAAAATTAGCTTTTAGTTAGTTAATTATTATTCTTGATATTAACTTTTGAAATTTTAACTATAATTTTCATTTTTTCGCAATTCACTTCTAAAGAAATTCTAGAAATCCTCAGCAATTTATTCCTAGTGAATTCGATTTGGCTGTTACGTCTGCTTTTTCCCACGTCATTTTTCCCACGTCATTTTTCCCACCAGATTCTATTCCCTTCAAAAGCTTAATTCCCATCTTGTTCGCTCTCCCCAAAATCTTATCCCTCTTTCAGTCCGTTCAAAAATCCCGCATATTTCCCTGCTAAAATATCCATTCGATTTTCAAATCGGGACTGAATTTCCCTGACTGAATTTCCCTGACTGAATTTCCATGGCTGAATTTCACTGACTGAATTTCCCTGACTGAATTTCCCTGATTGAATTTCCATGACTGAATTTCCCAGACTGAATTTCCCTGACTGAATTTTCCTGCTGAATTTCCCTGACTGAATTTCACTGACTGAATTTCCCTGACTGAATTTCCATGACTGAATTTCCCAGACCAATTTCTTTCAACCTGTATAATATACATGCAAAATATTTCGCGTGCATTTCGATGCACATATATAAAAAAATTCTGATAACTCGAGCATTTTTCTTGTTTTTCCACAAATCCTCTTATCCAAAAAACTGCAAATCTTTTGATTCATATTTTCGTCGTAATTCCAGTCTCCGGTTCTAATACATTTCCTAGCATTTTCCTTTCCAGGAGTTTTTTTTTCTTATTTTCTTACCGTTTTTTATCCGTTCTTTTATTTTACCCTATTCCTTCACCCTCCCTTTCTCCCATTTAGCCCCTCCCTTCTTTCAGGAGATTTTATTACATTTTTCCGTGTTTCGCTCCTCCCCTTCCCTTGGCTCGTCCAATCGCTCATGCGATTTTCTTCTTTGCATTCTTCGCACTTGCGACTTTTCCTTTTCTCGTTCATTTATCAAGCAGTTTAACCCCTCCCTTCTAGCTCCCCTCCACCTCCCCTTCTCTTCCCTTTCTTACCCCCTTCTTTCCCTTCTCCTCCCTTCACCTTCTTTCTTCTTCCCTCCATCTCCCTTCTAGCTCCCTTCATCTCACTTTCCTTACTTCCCTCTCTCCCTCACTACTCCGTTTCCTGTTTTGTTCTCTTATATTCCCTCATTTTTTCATTACCCTCTATTTCTCTACCTACTTTAATTTCAATTTCCCAGTTAAATATATAAGTTTTCACTAATTATCCTTAAATTTTTCACAATTATTTTTTCTCCTCGTCTTCTTCGTTCATTTCTTCACTATTAATTCCTTATCCCTCCCCTTCCCTCACTTTACCCTCGTTTCCCCTCTCTCTGGCGCTGGCGTTTTAATATCGCGACGCTGTTTATTCATTTATTGCACACCACCGAGGGCTAGCGCTGCCTTTTTTACATTTCCCTCGCTCTCTTATTTTTATTCACTAATTTTTACCCTCGGTTTTTTAATTCGCATGAGATTTTCCCCTCGGTTCTCCCTCACAAAATGGCGCCCTAATAAGAAGAAAGTGAGGGATGCATTTTGAAATATGCATGCGCGTGCCAAAATATTTTTATTCATTTTAAAAGAATATTTAAAAATTTTGGCGAAAAGGATAATATTTTCAATTAAATCACGTGAGATAACTATACGTGCGATAAAGTAACGAGCAAAAATTATTATGAATAAGAATAAATGCAAAAAAACATCTGCAAATCTTTGTCAAAAAATTAGTTTTTATAAAATTTTGTTCATGTTAATGAATAGATTGCGATTAAAGAAATGAAAATAATTTTAAAATATTTAAAAACGCATTTCATAATTCTACATCGGTTTTTTAATTGACATAAAATCGAAAAAATCATTATTCTAATCTAATTTAGGTGCTTATTTGCACGCTATATCCTCCTATCCCTTATTATATATTCCAACTACATCTAGATATAGTATCTAGGATGTTAGCATAACCTATATGTATATTAGATCAGTCAGTTTATAGGTACGGAGTTATAGGTGCAGGTATAGTGCTAGCGTTATTAGGTCAACGTACGAGTATACCTGTAGTTCTAGGTATAGGTGTAGTTCTAGGTAAAGGTGTAGTTCTAGATATAGGTGTAGTTCTAGCTATAGGTGTAGTTCTAGGTACAGGTGCAGTTCTAGGTATGGGTGTAGTTTTAGGTATAGGTGCAGTTCTAGGTATAGGTGTAGTTTTAGGTATAGGTGCAGTTCTAGGTATAGGTATAGTTCTAGGTATAGGTGTAGTTCTAGGTATAGGTGTAGTTCTGGGTAAAGGTGTAGTTCTAGGTATAGGTGTAGTTCTAGGTATAGGTGCAGTTCTAGGTATAGGCGCAGTTCTAGGTATAGGTGTAGTTCTAGGTATGGGTTAGTTCTAGGTATAGGTGTATTTCTAGTTATTGGTTTAGTTCTAGGTATAGGCGTGGACTCAAAATAAATTTCAATTATAAACGAAATTGAACAGTAACTAACAACTCAGGGGCCAAACTTTCAAAACTCGCTAAGTGAACGTAAGTACTTACGCTCTATTTTCTTGTCTATGATNTCTCACTCATCTCATTCCTCTCACTCATCTCATTCCTCTCACTCATCTCATTCCTCTCACTCATCTCATTCCTCTCACTCATCTCATTCCTCTCACTCAGCTCATCCCTCTCACTCAGCTCATCCCTCTCACTCAGCTCATTACATTGATAAATGGGATAGTTAAATTTATTGAATTTGTTAATGTATTTTAATAATATAATATAGATAAACTTTAAAGTAATTGAATATATATAATATAATAATTAAATTAATTAAATATTGATATCGGTTAATCATTCTGCAGATAATGTATTATTATATATTATAATCTATTGTATCTTCGATGCTATCACCTAAACATGTTTCGTATTATCTATGCCATCATCTAAATGTGATCATTATTAGTATATTATCAATACCATTATCTGGATAAATTTTCTCAATATCTGTTGTATTATTTAAACCATTATTAATTAATTATCTTTTTTAATATCTGCACGATTATAATGAAACGCAACATTTATTTTGTTATATTTTTCGTTTTCTACTTTAAAACCCCCATGAAAAAAATATTTTACCTTAATCATTTATATTTCAATTTTTCTGGAACATGCTATCTATTCATAATGAGGTCAATGTTTCCAATATGTATACATAAATCCCTGTTATTTATAGAACCTCTGGAATATTTAAGATTTCTCATATGTATATTATGCACATTAACTTTTTTATTGATAAGTAATATTTTTATAATAAATTGAATAAATGAATATACATTCATTAAATCAATGAAATTAACAATTAATTTTAATTTTAATTTATTTTTTACATTATAGTGAATGTAAACTGTGGTTGTAATTCCCCGTGGAGTTTTGACTGGCCCGGGCTTCCCATTTTCCAAACAGGAGGCGAGGACAGACATTTGTAATTTATCTTTTGTTGATCAATGGGGAAAATCACCCCCCAAACTTTGAAGATTGATCACCTACATAGGTCATTTCCGAGTCTACGGAGCAAGGAAACAATAACAATCGCGTAGATTCTATTTTGCATATTTTGTGAGAAAACAATTATATTTTTATATTTTTGCTATTTTTTCTTTAAATTGGGGATAGAAGCCTCCAATATTGTGATATTTTTGAAAATCTTTTTTTTATTAGAATTTGTATGTAATTTTGATTTTTTATTTTTAAAATCCCTATTCATGGAGAAATAAATTTACATGCACAAAAATATTTGTTATTACTTTCTAAAATTGTTACCCAAATTTTGCACAGCAGAATTTGAATCTGCGAGTTGCGTGTTCGAGACCGCAACAAGCTGTGGATGTTCTGCGATGTTAAGAATCGGCGACAGGCCTACGGCCTAATAAACGCTGAAACCGCTATTTCTAATTTTATTGTAAAAATATTACGTTCTTCAAGTCCAAAACCGTCTTATTTTTTTGCATTAAATACCCACATTAAAATGAATCAAATTATATATATTTACGAAAAATTTCTTGAAATATAGCATATAATTTGCATAGCTACTTATAATTATATAGAAAGAACCTGTATAAATACGTGTAGTAATAAATAATGTAACAGCATCACGATAAATGAAGGAACCGTATACATAGGATAACTATGATCCTGTTATCCTATGTTATCCTATGTTATCCTGATGACCGCGTGTACCCTTAAAAAATTCACTTCCATGGTGCCTAATTTAAGTGGATACTGCAATTCAATACAATACTAAATATAATGCTCATACATATTATTATAATACAACATTGAATATACTACTCTTGTATATTTCTCTAATACAATAATAAATATAATACTCATACATATTATTATAATACAACATTAAATATACTACTCTTGTATATTACTCTAATACAATACTAAATATAATACTCGTACATATTATTATAATACAACATTAAATATACTACTCTTGTATATTACTCTAATACAATACTAAATATAATGCTCTTAGCCCCGTGGACCCTAATTGTAATGACGCGTCAGTCACCGTCAATTGTAACGCATTATTGTGCGTCACGCGACGTACGCACGGCGCACAATGACGCAATAGTGACGTGTAAAGTGGGTCAACAGTAACGCGTTAAGTGAATCAATAGTGATGCGTAATGTGAGTCACTAGTGACGAGTGCTTCCTGCTGTCACTGTAGTAAATGGGATTAAAAAAAATAATGTTGATTAACTGAATTTTTATCATTTACTAATATTAATATTAATAATATTTTCCATAATTTTCAAGGCCATCAATGATTTAATAATAGAAGCATAAATATTTAACAGGATACAATATTATTATTTAGTTTTAAATTTTAATAACAATGGTATTAATGATTATCAATTGTTAATTAGTACTAATATGAATACAATTTCGACGACCAGAATAAAAGAATTACTATACCAACATTATTGATTTCCTTATTAATATGACTATTCTAATTTGGAGATATAAAGTTTTAATAAATATGTCAGCAACGCATATTTTCTTTGTGAATTATCTGAACAAAAATTGGGTTGACGTGTCAAAAATTAAACATTTATTTTAGTATCCGCTAAAATTGAGGCGCACTTGCAATTTTCTTCCTATCCGAAAACGGCCATCGAGTCTACGGTTATTACTTTCAGTATTTCAGGATATAAACTTAGTCCTCCACTCACCCTACCATCAGACCTCTACTCACCCTACCATCAGGCCTCCACTCACCCTACCATCAGGCCTCCACTCACCCTACCATCAGACCTCAACTCACCCTACCATCAGACCTCCCCTCACCCTACCATCAGACCTCTACTCACCCTACCATCAGGCCTTTACTCACCCTACCATCAGACCTTTACTCACCCTACCATCAGACCTCACCTTACCATCAGGCCTCTACTCACCCTACCATCAGGCCTCCACTCACCCTACCATCAGACCTTTACTCACCCTACCATCAGACCTCTACTCACCCTACCATCAGGCCTTTACTCACCCTACCATCAGACCTCTACTCACCCTACCATCAGACCTCTACTCACCCTACCATCAGGCCTCCACTCACCCTACCATCAGACCTTTACTCACCCTACCATCAGACCTATACTCACCCTACCATCAGACCTCTACTCACCCTACCATCAGACCTCACCCTACCATCAGACCTCACCCTACCATCAGACCTCTACTCACCCTACCAACAGACCTATACTCACCCTACCAACAGACCTCTACTCACCCTACCATCAGACCTCTACTCACCCTACTATCAGACCTCTACTCACCCTACCATCAGACCTCCACTCACCCTACCATCAGACCTTCACTCACCCTACCAAAAGACCTCTACTCACCCTACCATCAGACCTCTACTCACCCTACCATCAGAACTCCACTCACCCTACCCTCAGACCTCTACTCACCCTACCATTAGACCTCACCCTACCATCAGACCTCACCCTGTCTCTTATACACATCTAGATGTGTATAAGAGACAGGTATATAGGTGTACTTATAGTTATAGGTGTAGTCCTAGGTATAGATGTAGTTCTAGGTATAGGCGTGGACTCAAAATAAATTTCAATTATGAACGAAATTGAACAATAACTTACAACTCAGGGACCATACTTTCAAAACTCGCTAAGTGAACGTAAGTACTTACGCTCTATTTTCTTGTCTATGATTGGTGGATTTTGCTTGAAAGGCCGTCAATGATTGGCTGATGAACTTACGANCCCTGTCTCTTATACACATCTAGATGTGTATAAGAGACAGGTGCATGAATGAATGAATGATTGAAGGTGAGCCTGTTCTATTATATATAATATAATAATAATGAAACTTTTTACATTCATAAAATTCAAGAAATTCATACTCTATATCTAATCAAGAAATTTGATTATAGCCAAGATTATAAATATCTTGTTGATAATCATTTATTAATAGCAATCTTTTTTAACGTTCTTCATTAAAATGTCGTGCAAATTTTGAATAATAATGCGTTATTTGAGGTTATTTTTCGTTGTCGGGTTTATATTATTTCGACAGATTGGCTGTGAAAGATAAATCGATTATCTGTAAGAGATAAATCACTTATCTGTTGGAGATAATTCACTTATCAAGGAGATAAATCACTTATCTGTGAGAGATAAATCACTTATCTGTGAGAGATAAATCACTTATCTAGGAGTTAAATCACTTATCTAGGAGATAAATCACTTATCTAGGAGATAAATCACTTATCTGTGAGTGATAAATCACTTATCTGTGAGAGATAAATCACTTATCTGTGAGAGATAAATCACTTATCTGTGAGAGATAAATCACTTATCTGTGAGAGATAAATTGCTTATCTAGGAGTTAAATCACTTATCTAGGAGATAAATCACTTATCTGTGAGTGATAAATCACTTATCTTTGAGAGATAAATCATTTATCTGTGAGAGATAAATCACTTATCTAGGAGATAGATCACATATCTGCATGTGAGAGATAAAATGCTTATCTGTGGAAGATAAGTTACTTATCTGTGGGAGATAAATCGCTTATCTTTGAAGGGCAAGTCACTTATCCGTTGTATGGCGGTACGTATACGCAATGTTATTCACCTCATGCATTATCTTTATTAATCATTATTTAATCATGCCCTATCATTATAGGAATATCAATGGTTATTGAAAATCACCATTCATAGATCATCATATTTGTAGAGCCCTTAAATAACAGGCCATAAAATATAGAGGCCCCTTAAAACAGATCTTAAAAAATCACTCATTAAAACAGACCATTAAAATTACCCCTTAAACAGACCTTAAAAAGTCACCCTTTAAAACATACTTTTAAAAATCACCCCTTAAAACAGGACTTAAAAAATCACCCCTTATAATTAAAACAGGCCATGAAAATATTCAGCATAAAATGAAAATGAATTTGAAAATAATTTAAGCTCAACTAAGACTTCGTATTGGATTATGAATGTTATAGTTTCCCCTATACAAGACGCTTTACTGAATTCAAAGCTCTAGTTTGTTTGATATTATTAGTGAAGTATCAGAATAAAGTTTGGATAACAATAATAATTATAAAGCATGAAGGAAAATTTAGTTTCCTTCTGGTCTTGGTAAGTTAATTGAGTCTAATATCGAAGATTATTGACAATAGAAATTATATGTAGAAATAAATAATTTCGATATTATTATACTCGGTACATCATTATTACTCAATTATACTTAATTATATTATATAATTATTATTATGAATGTGATAATAATAAATTTATTATATATGTAATAATAATAATGAATTTGTTATAAATGTAATAATAATACATAT